AAGAATAAAACTTGTTTTAAAGAAATAAAAAATGGTGTTTATGATGTGTCCCTTGTTTTGAACCTTGTGTCTCATATTTTTATGAAACAGGAGACACATGTCTCTCTTTTCACATAAAGTTTCTGTATCACTGATTATTATGAAAATTCACCAATAACCCACTTATAATCAATTTGGAAATAACTTTTAATTTTCTGTTTAATATTTCACTTCCATAACTAAATTAATAACAAGTGGGATTCAAGATATAAAGCAGGCTAAAACTTGTAAAAAAAAGCGTGTCAAACTGAGGTAACCTTCAGCATATACCACTGTGTAACCATCAGTGCATACACATTGTACAGCTGTGGTTGTACAAGTTAGGTAGAATTAAAAACAGAAATCTGAGGTTTACCGACAAAGTCACTTACATGCAACGTTTGATTACTCACCTGCCAGACCTGCGAACAGCAAACAAAGTAACAACAGGGGTTGTTGGTTCATCTGCAGCAGACGAATTCCAAAGCTTCTAGAAATCCTCTTCCGCAAATGTGTGAGATAATTCATTGTAATAAGCTAGTCAGTGCTAGACGTCGGCATAATATTGATAACTATCTTGATGTTTCCTTTGAAGAATTTGGCCCTGTGACCAGGAACTTAACTCCTTAAACAATATGGTAGCTTCCAGGTGAGAATTCTTCTTTTAGTTTACCCCATGCAAACTTTCTTTACTATGCCAGCTATCGCTACAGGTGAGATATACTACGCTAAATCGAAAACCTTAGATATCCTAACTCATCTTTCTAAATGAATCCTCCGTACTCTAAATCGACCTTGTTGTCCTCGCGCAGTGACGTCACCAACTTGATAAAACGGGAAAAAGCTAGCAACCGATGCAGCAGGTCCAACATGTCTAAAAGTGCGCCAGTTCTTGTTCAATATGTCCTGATTAGAAGCGACTTGAAGTGGCCAACAGGGGCGTTAATTGCTCAAGCGTGCCATGCGTGTACTGCCGTCATGTACCTATTTAGAGAAGATCCTAATGTTAAATCATATACTGAAGATTATACGCGGATGCATAAAGTCGTTTTGGAGGTGGGAAATATTTATTGTTTCGTGATCTCTTTCAATATATCTGTAATATCCAGTAGTAGATATATTTTTTCTCATTATGAGCATAAAATAAGAAGATGAATCAAGACATCCACTTAGATAATTATTCTTAAACTTGCATTTTATGGTCAGGGACTCAGTAGTTTTTTTTTTCGCACAGTTCCTCTTAAACAGTCTAGGTAATTTCCAAGTGAGAAAAAGATTTGTCTTTGAATAATTAGTATATATCTTCATTTAACTGTTACTTATAATTAGTTCTTAGTTATGATTTTAGTATTCATAATTGTTCACAAATATTGCATACACACCATTTGTAGATTTGTGATACTAGTATATAAACAAACTTTCTGAAATTATAATGCAAGCAAGATTCATATTTAATTTCTTTCTTTCTTTTCAGGCCAAAGATGAAGAAAGCTTGACCAAAGTTTCAGAGTCACTGACCTCAGACAATAAAGACTTTCATCTTTGGATAGAACAGCCAGAAAATATACCAACATGTATTGCCACAAAACCATACCATAAAGAAGAGATACAAACTTATTTTAAAAAGTTTAAACTCTTTAAATGATATTTGAACCTCATTTCATATAGTGCAGCATATTTATATTGAGACTGTGAAAACCTGGAACAAAAAAGTTGACTTATTCAAAGAGTGGAGCAGAATAAATTAATAGAAGATAATGTGATAAGGTATATTTTTCACCAGAATATTATAAGCTGAAGCAAAAGTTGGATTGGAATGAAAAATATTTTACTTATAGTATTTGCTTTGTTTTGTGCTTGTGTTCAATGTACTAGTATGCCATCAGCCCTATTCACAATACCAAACATTTCATGAATCAAAGGAGCTACTGTTGATAATATTTTATATCTCTCATGAGAAAGGAATGCCATGTTCCAATCTTTAATCCCATGAAGAGTGCAATCAAAATTAAAAGACAACTGTCAAGTATTGTCATTGTTGATGAACTGGTACACAAAGCAGGTTTAACTTGACATCTTACCCTTTATTTAGAAATAAAAAAGTCTTGGTATTTATTTTGAAATATTTGAGATTTTTTGTAGCTTGTTTGTTCTTCTGTATCAACATACAGCATCTGAGCTTGTCTGTAGAAAACTAAGAAAAATGCTCAACTGGAATTAACACACCTTTAAAAACAAATAAGGAAATGACAACAAAATCTGTTTATTTGTAATCTTTATATTTTACATGAGTTTTATTTATCAAATAAATAATGTAAAAAGTAAGTGAAATTCCTTGCAAAACTTCATTTACAACTGTGACAATACCTGATCTATCTAATATTTCTTGACTGCCAAGTCACCTATTATTTGAATAAAGTCCTTCATGATGAGCAAACACATCTACCAACTGTTTGGACACTTAAACAATCTCAGACATATAACATCTCATATTAACCTCCTTAGAGTTTCAAAAGTAAGTGCAAAATAAACCCAAAACTAAAACTTCTACAGTTCTTAAGGGCTGTTTTCCATCAGACGGATGACCGCTGTCCAAATTCCTTTTTGTCATAAAAATGTCTGAGTGCATAACATAACTGGACATGCCTTAGATTTCTTCTAAAATCACCCAAGCCTTAGCCAAGGCATATGTTAGTCTGTTGTGCTTTGTCACTTCTGTGAAATGGCAATGTTACCATGGAAACCTCCAGACCCAATTTGCAGCATTGGTTTCTCTCTATCTTAAGTCATGTCCACTCATTATCTGCTACCTTTTTCCTGCTTTCTGCATCTGAAGAAAAAAAATCTTATATTACTGAAATGTTCACAGTTAATGGAAGGCAGGGTTGAACAAGTTGTGGTTTTAAAAGACACGATTTATTATTACTGAAGAACAGTGGGAATGAAGTAATTAGTTCCAATGTTATTCTGTTGAATTAAAGATGAAAAAAAAATGCTGTGCAAAGAAGAAATTAAAAAGCTTTATCATCTGCTTGAAATCTGCAACCTTTTTAAGTTGCATATTCTGTTCTGTCAACTTAATTGTAAGCAGTTGCATTACTAACTGTTCATATACCTACCACTACATAGTACATACTTGACAAAAAACAAAATTTCAGTATGCTAAAACATTTAAAATATTGTTTATTTCCATGCTATCTCTCTGTAAATCACTTTTAACTTACTGTTTTCTTAAAACATTCCTTCAGAGCCTGGAACTCTTTGGCGCAATCATTACATTTCACATCCTCCTTCTCTGAAACACACTTCCCGTATGCTGACATCTGAAATTAATGGTGTCAAATCAAGACTTGAAGTTGCATTAATAATTATCACAGTCACCAAATTATTTCTCGTGTCAAAAGAAGCAAACAGACTTTCCACCCAAGCCCCACCCCAAAAAAGTTATTAATATTTTTAAAAGATAAAGTGAACTTGTAAATAAATTTAGAAAGAAATACCCCTTTCAACTAGACCATTTACGATACAAACAAATTTTCTAGAACATTTCTCAAAATCACTGCAATTAACCAATGGCTTTGTAACTACTCATATATATATATATACCCCTGTATATATATATATACATGTATAGAGAGAGAGAGAGTGGGAGAGATAGAGATGCAACGTTCTCACATCGAATTACCTCAGTCCTACATTCTTTCAAGGCCACTGGGAACTGCTTCAATCTCTGCTTAGCTGCCTGCACAGACGAATTAGCACGCTGCATAGCTACTATTTCAACATTACAACATAAAATGCCAGTGACACTTATATCACCACTGTACTGCACATTGTGAAACAGTTGCTGCGTTTCAAACCTCCACATCCGGAAGATGTTATTTCATATCCGACCCGATCACCTGTACTGAGTCCGTTTTCCCTTCCATAAACAGGCTTACATAGTCTGACTAAATCAGCATGGAGTGAGGACGCGAAAAAGATTTTGTGTGAAAATGGCTTTGGAGCACAAAAGTAAGAGAAAACTTTCCAGAGCAACAAAGGACACAATTCACTTTATCACGGTATGTATTACCCATTGTGAGGAATTTAGGTGTGACTGTGAGCTATATATAGTTAGGCGGCTAAGCCAAAAAATTGTGCAAAAAGTGATAAAAGCATGAAACTTTCCACGATGAATGACCATTGGGTGTTTGTCAATTTTGGATCGGGGGGCAATTCCAAAATTCACAAGTACCCGGATGAGCGGCTTTCTTAAAATATGCTGATTCAGCATTTTTACGTACATTCAAAATTCCCTTAAATGAGCACTACCGGCGTTAATTATGATAATATGAATAAATGTGAGAAATATACACTTACTGTGCACATGTATAACAGTTATAATGACGTCATGATGTCGTCACTGGGTGATATTGCACAATACATGCGAATATCTATACTGACTCCCATATACTAAATAGTCGAACCCTGCAATGATCTTTCCTGTAAACATTCATTACAGAAAACCATCCTTTAGGGCTAGAAAGGTTAAGTTAGCTTGGTGTCTACTTCCAAGACTTTGAGCATTTTCAATATGGCCGTCAATTTTTGAGGGAAAATAGAAAAACAACCAAAAGTCGACAGATATACTTTATTTGTGGCTCTTGTGAACCTATTTCCTGCCAGAAAAACACAGTAGGATAATTGACTGCGTACTACCGCGTTTCTGGTATGGATAAACCAAAATGGCCGCCAACGCAGGATGAATTATAGATATAATCAGTGTATTACTGGTATAATAAGTCTAATTAATACTTATAACGCCTTCAATTTTTCTGTTCATTTGGATTTTTCATTGGCCACTATCCTTACCTATCATTAATAGCTTTTTTTTTACATTCAAAATAAAAAAAAATGTAAATGAAAAAGAGAAAGAATATTTTTCAAAGAAAGGGGGGTATAAAATTAATTTAAAATGATATAAAAATACATAAAAATTCAATTACGGACTTTTTTGTGGCAATCTGAACTGCTAGAGCACATGGATTTTAATGAAAAATTACCATTCAGGAGTCAGTTGTCACCATCTCAGCCATGTGACATTAACATAAATTATATTCATGTATATTTCACTCAGTTGCTGATGAACGCAACCAAACCACCTCCTTTCCCGCTGACGATCTTCCACTAATGCGGCCCTTGAACAAATGTGGAAATTGCCTTCTTGTCTCCTTCGAATCGCTGGCAATCTCCCTCTGACCTTATTCATATTGCCTTCTCGTTTTGCTCGGATTCATTACTATCTCCCGCTGATGATTTTTCTGCTGGCGAAGTCCCTAAAACGAATATGAAATTTACCTTCTCGTCTCGCTCGGATCGCAAACGATATTCGGCTGACGATGTTAAATTTGCCTCTTCATCGTGTTTGGATTGCTAAATGCCATTTGCTTCATATGCCGTACAATGAAATCATATACGGTTTTCCGTGCGATTTTCATGGCATCGTAAGTGGCTACGGGCTACGGCAAATACATTTACATTACATGCTTGTGCCATGCCTTGTCGCTAATTAATATGAGCTTACGGATATGAAGGGAAAATTCGGTTTGTCGACTGAAACTGATCATACAGAGTCCGTTCAGTCTCAGTGCAGTTGCTGCACGCCTTCCGTGTGGCTTTCTTGAAGATAGACGATGTTGGCGCATATTCCCAGGATTTATAGCATCCACGTGGTCAAAAGAAGAAAAAACACACAGCTTCAAATCTGTGCATGTGAATTACAATATTTAAAAGACTTTTGCGATTGTTTTTCCCTCTTAGCCCACCAAAGGTAGAAGGAAAAGAAGCTATCTCACGTTGATGATATGCCGCTAACGAACTCCTTTACGCGAATATGAAAATTGCTTTCTCGTCTCGCTCGGATCGAAAACGACATCCCGTGGAAGGTATGAAAACTGCCTTAGTGTCTCGGTCGGATCGGTAACAATCGTCTGCTGCAAATCGTCCGCGGACAAAATCCCTTGAACGAATATGTAAATTGCCTTCGCGTCTTGCGAATGATCTACCGCTGACAATCTCCCGCAAACGTAGCCCCTACTGAACGAACATGAAAATCGACTTTTCCTCTGTCAGCGCTGTCAAGTGATGCTTGAAGGTCTGATAGGTTTTAGCTTTCAGGCAGCCGTTCAAATGGCGGCTGGGCGGTTCACTGAAAAAAATCCTTATCAAAAATCTAACCTAAGTTGGAAATGTCTTTAGCCTTATTTTTCAAACATAAAGGGGTTACTGCTGACATATTAGAGATGACTGACTGCTTAATCGAAGAAGAAACTTGATTAACATACCTCCTTTCCTTTTTGTTTTATTACGTTGCCTTCCAAGCGTATAATTTTACTGACATACAATGTATATGTAGATTTCATTCGTTTAAAATCTTTTTCAGTGAAAATAAACATAATTTACCATTTTTTACGTGCCTTTTCCGTACTGTTTTGGTGGCCATTTTGCTATTTCTATTCAAATGACTCGCAGATTATGTAAAAGAAAATCCTAATACACGCTACCTCTGTATTTGTAAACATTCAAATTGACTTTTAAATGAAGAATATACACACACTGTATATAGTTTGATGTAAATTGCTATGAATATTTATGTCCTTTTACGTAAAAATTGGCAGCCATTTTGGGTTACAAAAGTGCTCAGTGTCCCAGAAGCTACTAAAACAAAGCTAAGTTGACTTTTCTAACCCAAAAGAATACAATTTTTTTCTAACAATTGCAGAAAACAACACAGCATTGTGCAACTATTGGACTAATTGGAGTGGCAACTTAACTACTTGGAGGGCTTACTCCCTCACCACACATAATTTGAATATTTTTCAAGCAGATAATGGTAGTGTAGGAAAATCGCTAACGAAAAATCACGATGAACGGAGAAATCAAAGAAGAATATGCTGTTGATTAGACTGATAATACCACAAATATGCTGATTTTCCTGATTTTCTTTACCATTTTCTCTTCCCTGTGTTTTGGCGGCCACTTTTTCCGTATCAGTGACGTGTTAGGGTGTAGTCTTGTACCCTACAGTGTTCTTCCGACAGGAACACATTCACAAGAGCCCCGAATAAAGTATATCCGTCAACTTCTGGTTGTTTTTCTATTTTTCCTAAAAATTGACGGCCATATTGAAAAATCCTCAATGTCTAGGAAGTAGCAACTAAACTAATTTCCCTTTCTAGTCCTAAAGGGGTATTTCTGTGATAAAAAAAAAAGTACGGGAAAAGAAACATTGTAAAGTTAGACTATTGTTCCTATGGGAGAAAGTCGATATTTGTCATACTATATTGTGCAATATCACCCAGTGACGCCATCGTGACGTCATCATTGCTCTGATAAATGTGCACGGTGAGCGTACGTTTTAAAAATCTATTTATGATATCATAATTAGTGCTGGTAGTGCTCGTTTTGATGAAATCTAATTGTACATAAAATGCTGAGTCAGCATATTTAAGAGAGCTGCTCATCCGGGTACTTGTGGATTTTGGAGTTGCCCCCCGATCTAAAATTGACAAACACCCAATGGTCATTCATCGTGGAAAGTTTCATGCTTTTATCACCTTTTGCACAATTCTGGAAATATTTTGGACTTAACCGCCGGACTAATATACCAGATCCACTGTTTAATGCTTCTTGCATCAAAGAAAAACAATAAGCTGATGGCATATGAAAGGTTGTCTACTATCATTGCACTGGCCACATCTGTACTGTATACATGAAGCCTCTGATAAAATTAAAAGAAATTTTCTCTGTCTGAATGACAGACTACATGTAGATGCTTGTTTTAAACGAGGTGGATCCAGAGATATTATCTTTTAGTCTTCAAAATTATCTTTAGTTTGATGATCCATCCCCCATTTTTGACTGTCTTTTGACAGAAAAATTGGATACCTGCCAATGTTAACTTGAAAAATTCTAGCCATCTTCCAGGAGATCCAGAAGATGGCTTCATTTCACCTCTGTTAAATGTTGCATTTTATAAAATACTTTTGCCATCAGCTCAGGATAACAATATTATGAATGATCTCAAATAAAATCCACTTTTTTAAAATCACTATTTGAATTACAAAAGGCAACAGCAGCAATGACAGGGATCCACAATGCTCAGCAATCAGAAAATGTCCAAGTTTTTTTTTTTTTTTTTATAATTATTTTAATTATGTAAAAACATTATATTTTCAGGTAAAGAAGTACAGTTTAAAAATGCTGCCCACAAGATAAGATTCTGGTTGCCTTCAAGTGGTGGTATCCAGATAGAAAACAACGGTGTCCCTTTTTTCTATATTCATTGGGAAAGTGATCAAGCAATGTCACTTAGGGAAAGATACAGATAAAGCCACAAAGGACAGAAGATGTAAGGAGCGCCATGAACAATGGGATGTAAGTTGTCATTTTACATTATTGTCTTGAACAATTTCATTTATAAATATTATTTGTTTTTTTCTATTTAAAGATTATCTGTGGCACAATAGTCTGACAATAATTGCATGTATTTAAACTATGCAATAAAATATTAAGTACTTCCAAAAAAAATGTCTTTGTATTTGGAAATTAAAGTTATTCCCCATCCTACACCTGTCATTTCATCTGGTACAAGCAGTGACACATGTTTCAGCATTCTTGGACATATATTCCTGTCTATATTTTTTTGCTTTTAAATTTTTTTATATATTTTTATTAAGATTGAATTTTTAGTAGTGTGAATTTTAAATGATTTCCGATGAATGTTTTAGATTCAAATATTGTAGTAATTTTAAAGATTTAAGTTATATTATCCATTATAAGGCGCTTTGAGGTAGTACGTAAGGTGCCATGAAAAATAAGAAACATTATTATTATTATTATTATTATTATTATTATTATTATTATATAAAAACACAAAGATGTGTTATATTGCAGGGGATACAGGAGGATGCCTTTTCAAATAATCAAAAGCCACGATGCAGAAAGCGAACAACCCAAAAAATTGGCTGTAATGCCAAAATTTACTTGTATCACATTGTTAGGTTTCCTGACTACAAGGTCAGTAATTAAAAATAATTTTAATGGACAAGGTTATTTTGGTATAAAAATTTCCTAACCCAGTATCAAAATGAATTTATGTTACAGTTCTACTAATAAAAGGGGTATGGGAAAGTAATAAATATTTATCATGTTATTCTATATGATTGTTGTATGTTTGCTAATTTAGACCCTATTCCCATAGACACCATTAGTGACACCCAACTCTGTGGGGACTCGCTGATTGCAATCAGCTCAACTGAATGACACGTCTCCTCATGTTATAATATAATCACTACCTCTTCTGTATTTTACTCAATGCCAGGCGGCACTCAGTTTACTTAAGCTGATTGCAATCAAGGAGAATCCCCACAGAGTTGGATCGAATGATCCAACTCTATTAAATGATGAAAATTAAATAAACACTTTGCCTTTATGAACTAGAAAAGCACTCCGAGAGCGCAGACCCCCGCCAAGGCAGCGGTTTTGATTATTATTGATTATTGATTGATTATTGATCCGGATCATCACCAAAAACTAATAATCTCTTCCTGGGCCCACTTCTGACAGTTCCTGAAAATTTCATCAAAATCGGTCCATAACTTTTTGAGTTATGTTGATGACAGACAAACAAACAGGGGTGAAAACATAACCTCCTTGGCATAGGTAATAATATCTTCCCTCCTATATATTAATTGCAAATTCTTCCATTGTAACCAAGTCACTTCTTTCCATTATCCACTTTACTGTTTAAATGTGCTGTATGCAAAGGTAACATTTACGTAACTTTTAGGGCATACCATTAACCCACAAAGTAATCAGATATATTTATTCAGACAAGCAGTATTTTCTTTTTAAACATTCAAATTTTTTTTTTAGATACCAAGGAACATATGTCAGGATGGCATCATCTAATTGCCAGTATAGGTACCAAATGTCCACGCTGACTCTTACACAGAAGTTGATTCCCCGGACAACACAGATAAGCAAGCTCAACCGCACATGTGCAGCACTAGCTATAGTAACGTTCAAGCCACTAGGAACAGAGTGGCGGCTGTGCTCAAGGTTCTGACTGATCAGTGTTGCATGTTGGAGGACCAGGAGATGCTGAGTAAAATGCAGCATCAATTAGAGGCTCTGCATGATGTGGTCGAGGGATATATCTCAAAATTTGATGAATTTAATAAAAAGCACCAACACCCAAAAAGAGAATGCTCACTTTGAAGAAAGCAGAGCTTTTCTCCAAAAGGAGAAAAGTGATGACGTCGAGAGAAGGCATTGTAGATGCGGATAAGCAGAATGAGTTCTGTTAATAACTGCTGTCCACTAAATACAGGTACACATAATGACCTTTGCTGTGAGTTCTGCAATGGTTACAATGACGTCACTAAGATTTATTTTAATAAATATTCCTTTTTGTATTTCTGTCCTAACACTTTTGTAAATTCTCTGCTATTATTTAGTTACAACAGTATTGGATTATAGGGTACCCAGTTGTCCTGGTTACTTATTATTTGATGAAATAATTGTTTATTTTATGATCTGCTATCCTGCATTCATCGCTTAGAAGCTAATGCATTTATATTTATTGAAGTTGACAGAGTGGCAGCAGACTTACATGAAAACAATGTTTTAAGACTGCGCAGATCAAAATTCCATGGACAAGCCTCAAATCTTGGGGTTTTATGTAAAGGGTCTAAACTTTCAAAAACATTATATACAGGTGCTTTATTGGAACTTTATTGGATTTATCATCCATTGCAAGAAGAGTAATAATTGTACACAAAGAACAAAGTTAATGTTGTGAACTTTTTTATAAAAAAAATAGATATCACTTTGTATCAGTATCATATGAAATCTAAACAAGGCAGCAAAGTTGTCAAAATTGGAGACAAAAAGTAGAAAATAATGATGCACAAAATAGGTCGTTTGGCCAATTTTGATACAATAATACTATATTCAGATTTATGCAAAATGGGATCAAAACCAATCAACCATGTCTATCATTAACAATGAATGAGGCCGTTCACACTAGCACTTTTGACCGCGGTCTGGGGGTTGGACTGTCCTGTGTGTGTGTGTGGGGGGGGGGGGGATTTTTTTAAATCTAATTTCTTTGCACATTGTGCAAGTTCATTCCACAAGTTTTTTTAGACTAAGGAAGTTAAGGATTTTGATACTGATAGCCCTATCATCAGGAATGTGGATGGACCAGTCATTATTTATACACACATTGGGGATGGGCTGTCTGGGGGGGGGGGGGGATATGACTTTTTTACATAAAGTATTTTTTCATTGATATTATTTTGTGCATAATTTCAAGAAAAATTACCTTATGATCAATATGCCAGCTTTTCCAAATTTGAGCTGTATGTCTATTCTACAAAACATTTTTGTAAGTTACAAAATGATAAGTAATACAGTTTTCCTTTTATAAAGTTTGTGGTGTCAATGCACAATGTATTTTTGTCAGTTTTGATACAATATTACATAATGATTAAAAGCATAATCACCACCTATTCTTAATTATCTACTAAACATGACATGGGCATTTAGAAAATGTAACTACCATTTGGCTTCATGCCCATGGGAGTTATATTTCCCACATCGAAAATGCTAATATGTGAAAAATAAAATTTTCACAAAGAATTGCATAACTGTTTTGCAATTATATACTTGAGTTTTTAACAACTGTTTTATTACTTTATGTCTCAGTTTTTTTACAACTATTTATTACTGTGTATTTCACCTGTATGCCATTGATTTCCCATGTGTCTGAAGCCTTGACCTAGACCATCTAAATTGTCCAAAAAACCATTTTGGTTTTCATAAAGGTTCTTATAAACATATAAGGTTTTTTTTTATTAACATCAGTGTTGTGACATATTTACATCAGTGTACAATATGATTTGGAGGTATGGTTGGAGTTATTTAAGTACTGGAATGTCTTAACTTTCCCCATGTCCTCTCCCACCACCAGCTGGCCATCAGGGTTGATGGCTAATGCTACGGGATTCTCCAACCCATCATTCCTAGTAGCAATGTATCTGATAAACTCTCCTTGTGGACTCAGTGCCACTATCCTGTGGTTGTACCAGTCAGCAATGAAGACGTGACCATAGCTGTCTGTACACACTCCCTGTGGTTGACACAGCTGACCATCACCACTGCCTTCTGTGCCATACTGGTACAGCTGACCACCAGTAGGTGACAGGACATGGTCTCTGTGATTACCTGGTTCTGATATCACAGTGTTATCATTGTTACTGTTTACTGTTATGTACTGTGGGCCTTCACACATACTGAGTGGAATGGTATTCAAGAGCTATCCAATCGCTGCATGGAATGTGAAAATGGATTTCTTTTTCATGTCACAAACCATCACATGACATTGTCTGTTCAGTGTTATACCACGTGGATCTTCAAGTTTACCACAGCCAATGGTTGACAGCTGCTGACCTCTGGTGGAAAACACCTTGATACATTTGTCACCTCATCATCATCATCATCATTTAGAGCCTATAGTGTTCCACTGTTGGACAAAGGCCTCAGCATGCTTTTTCCATTGTTTCCTATCCTGAGCCTCAGATTTCCAGTTTGGCCAAGGTTTCTTCTTCCAAGACTTCCAGTAGTCATCTAATTCATCCCTCCATCGTTTGACCGGCCTTCCTCTTTTTCTTTGTCCATACCTTGGGGTCCATTCTGTAAGCCTGATTGTCCACCTATTGTCCTTCATTCTTTTGACATGTCCTGCCCACCTCCATTTCATTTCTTAAACTGTGAGTAGTACGTCCTTGACTTTGGTCTGTTCACGTAACCATACATTCGTTTTCCGCTCTCTTGGATTGATGTTCAACATAATTCTTTCCATCTTTCTCTGAGCTACTTGTAGCTTGTGTTCCATGGAGGCAATNTATCTAGAAGAGTCAGCATTCTATCCTGCCCTAGTTGAAAGGGTCTCTTTGCTCTTTTCATGCTCTTTCCATTTTCGATGGTCTCTGCTATCTTCTTCATGTTCTGCTTCCTGATGTCTTCCCTTGCCTTTTTCTTGATGGTCTTATCCAGTTCTGCATATTCGATGTTGTTTCTGATGTCCCTGTTGTTGTTTACCTCCGTTTTCTTCATCATCCGTCTTTTCTTCATGAGAATCCTCGTTTCTGTTGAGAGCTTTGAGTCCTTCATTTTACTGGCTCTCTGATGCACATTCTAGGATGGTAGTCGTTATTCTATCGTTCATTTCATCTACTCCATCTTCACCTTCTAGCTCTAGTGCACTGAATCTGTTCGTTAGGAGGATTTGGAACTCGTCTTTCTTTATGACCAGTTGCTCGATACTAGGTCTCTTTGATCGATTTGACAGGTATTTCTGTCTGTCCTTCCTGACATTGATCCTAATCACTCCCATAACTGCTCTGTGGTCACTGCCCGCATTCAGTCTGTTTAGCACTTTCACATCCGTGAAGATGTTCGGTCTGTTTGTCATGATGTAATCAATTTCATTTCTTGTACATCCATCTGGGCTTTGCCATGTCCATCTTCTTGATATCTTCTTCTTGTAGACGGTATTCATGATCTTCAAGTTATTTGCTGTCGCCCATTCAATCAGTAAGTCTCCTCTTTCATTCCTCTCTCCGCTGCCAAATTTCCCTGTGGCACGCTCTTGTTCGTCTGACTTTATCCCGATCTTGGCGTTGAAATCACCCATGACTATGTGGTAGTGGCAGTCTGTTGTCAACTGACGCTGTACTTCTTCATACAGTTGTTCTACTTCTTCATCTGGTCTGCTTGATGTTGGTGCATATACCTGAATGAGTTTCATTGAGAATCTCTGATTCACGTTGAGCTTGACTGTAGCCACCCTTGCGCTAATTTGCTTTACCTCAATGATGTTCTTGCTTAGCGCCTTGTGTATCAGAAATCCAACTACTTGTTGGCCATTTGAAGCCTTTGTATGGTACAATATATGTCCGCTATTCAAGGTAATTAAGCATTCTTCCGCTTGCCTATTTTCTGACAAGCCTATCACATGCCATTTAACTACGGTGTCCTGGAGTTCAGTTTCCAATTCTGCAAGTCTTTCATTGTTCTTCACAGTTCTAATGTTGTAAGTAATGATGTTGAAATTTTTCACTGGTCTTGATGTTCGGTGATCCTTGCTGCCCCAGAGATTCTTAGTACCTNGTAAGTAATGATGTTGAAATTTTTCACTGGTCTTGATGTTCGGTGATCCTTGCTGCCCCAGAGATTCTTAGCACCTCCTGCACTCTGCTGGTCTGAACCAGGATCACCTCCTAAGTTCAGGGCGTTTGTGCGGCTGGGTACTGGAGGCCGTGTGTTTGTTGGTTGTTTCATGCTGGATTTTAGGCCTACTCATCCCACGCTGGCCAATGCGGGTTGGGAGAGGGTGTTGAAGTTGGCAACACCATTCCTAGGCAAATTTGTGTGAACACACTAAAGAGCTTTGCCTGCCTTATGTTTATATCATAGAGGTGATTTCATGACCAAATTTAATTTCAGAAAATCCCTATTTTAGTTCAAGTTATATGTAATTAAATTATATTTAGATGTCTTAAAATTATATTAAGTGAATATTTAAGTAAATTACATTAAACTTCTATACAAATCAAGTCAGATATCAGTATATAGCAAATGTATTTAAATGTCCAAGTTAAAACTACATTAAGTTCTGCAGGATGTGTTCAGGACTGAATAACTTCATCTATGGCTTCATCTTCCAGTTAAAGTTTAAATCAGCCTTGGTCTAATTGTGTTAAAGGTCTCCTGCAATGTGTCTTAATTCTGTTAATTGGCTTCAATATCTCTGACTTGCTTAAGGAATCACTGTAATGTAATTGTCCTTATGTATTAGTATATAAGGAGAAGAATTTGCAATATACTATCATTAGAGTCTTGTGTCTTCACATGAAGTAGTCAGAAGTAGTGTAGAGTAGAACATATAGTCAGCAGATAGAAGTGGACCAGTGACACCAATACCTGGATTGTACAGAATAAAGGTAGAGATCACACAGATTGTAGTGAGTCTCTAGAAACGTAACAACGGCTTGGTGTTGTATACGGTTTTTCCTCCGCTAGCCTTATGATCCGGCATTTGTCACCTCGTGATGTTATATACAGGTTACCAGTCTCTGACACAGCCACATGAAATGGATTTTCAAGTTTAAAGTCAAACTTGAACTCTCCATCATGTGTGAACATTTTTGTTCTCTCGTTTCCATTATCCACAACAGACACTTGTTCCTCATCTATGGCTAATCCTTTTGTGAATATTACTTTATCATCACTCAGCTTAGGACTAAAAGAATGCACACACTTTGCTTTTTCTAGAAAAACAGGAGGGTTTTTCCCCTGTTCAGCTAATGGAGGTTTAGACTCTACTGTCACCTGTCCTAACATGGCCTCCAGTCCAGCAACAGATGTCTCACCTGGGCTGTAGGATATCTGTATTGGTGTGTCTGGAGGTGGGACTGGTGTTTTCTCCATTACTTCAAGTCTCTCTGACAAAGATTTTGCCTGATCCATGATGTCAGAGTCAGCGCCCTTTGTGACAAGTTCCTGGGAAGAGTGACAGACACTGCGCATGGTGCAAAAGTGGTGTTCAAGGATATCCTTTCTTGCATCCTTCTGGGTTTTTTTACGGCTGTATGCAGAATTTACTTCTGATTTTAGTGTCTCTTTCTGCTCATTAATCAGTTGAATAAGCTGCTGGGCTTTGTTTTCAATCTTGTTGATAGTGACATCCCAATTATGAAAGTCCTCTTTTTCATTGGCTGTTTCAGTGTCAATTGCTTCTTTAAACAAGCTCATAGTTTTCATGGTTTTCTCACAAGCACCATTAAGTTTATCTCTGTTGCTTTCTGCAACTTCATGAATAGAGGAAATGTGATGTCCATTATGTGATGTTACTTTACACTCACTACATATGGCAGTATTATCATCTTCACAGTAAAATTTTAATTTGTTATTATAGGATGTTTCTCACAACTGATGACCTTTTGTGCAATGCCCCCTCTCACTGCTGCTTCATTGGCCTGTTTCTCTTCTAATGTTCGTCTATGTCGTTGTTGGGTTATGATGTCTATTGTCTTGCAGATGTCAAAGTTTTTTTCAAGTTTAGTAAGTCCACCACATGGAAACAGGGATGCCTATTTGCAAATAGGACATGGATATGCCCGGTCTGGAGTGTGAGATCTTTGGGCATGATCAGTTATACAACCATAGCAAAATGTATGGTGGCAAGACAGTATACGGGGGTCCTCATACTCTCTCCGACAGATGATACATGTCAAGATATTCTTTTTAATTTCTGCTTCTAGTGCCTCTGCCATAGTGATTGTCTCTTTGCTGGTGTATACACTTTAGGTGCAAAGTTGGTTTCTGTACCTTTCATATGGAGTCACAGAGTAAAAATAAGAGTTATGGATTGTCATTTACTTCCTGTGGCAGCAGCACTGATCTACGGAGTTTAATATGGTAACATTTAACACTTACTGACCGCACCCTTCAACTAGACTAGTGTCATGTCAGTTTTTCTGCCAAATGTTTTTAAATGTAAGCCCTGAAATATGCACCGTGTTTCTTCTTTATCCATTTAGAACTGCTTGGACGTAGAGAGAATATGGCATCTGTTCATTACCTGATCCCAACCTGATTCTGTTGTCTAGCCTCATATTCGGCTGTATTGTGCTTACGCTAAGCTCTTTTTCTAGAAACAGAGCTATGTATGTATATGTCTGTGTAAGAAACTTCCCCAGTTTCTGTTGTCTGTCGCCATGCAGCTGTATTGTGCTTACGCCAAGCTCTTTTTATAAAAATAGAGCTATGTATGTATATGCCTGTGTAAGAAATTTCCCCAGTTTAATGGCTGACACTGTACCAAGCCCTTCTGAAATTTTTCTTTAATTTTTGTATCGTCATTGTTCAACATATATTGTACTAGCTTTATGCAGTGCGTAATATTATTTTCTTCTTTCTAGATCTACCAGGTATTGTTGACTGATTATTTCTTAAGCTGACCTCACTTTAGCCTTAAGAATAAATTAAATGCAGTCATTTATTTGATGATGCAGTTGTGTTTGCTCTAAACTCGGGGGAACAAGTAAAGGGTTTAACAAAGCAAGCATCTACCTGTATCAATCCTGTTTGGATATGTGAGAGAAAAAAAATCCCAAGTTCCAGGTGCTTTTTGTGTGCTTTTTATATGGCACTATTGAAGGGAACTGTGTGCCTTTTGATACCAGAAAGATTCAATTTTGAGGAACTACTATAATTATCACACTATATGAGCCGTTTTGTTGTTTATCCCTGTTGTTTATGCAGGCAGTCATTTAATTGTTACTGACAACTTGACTACACATCTATTCTTATAATTCACATGAAATGCACATTATACAAATACATAATACATTTTACCTAAAAATAACAAAATTGTTCCATATTGAATGTCCAGTCTGTAAATAATGCCATACCCAGACCTACCAAAATTCGCCATAATCCACAATTTTCACGTTTATGCAAAATGTGATCAAAATCAATGTACCATACCTCCCATGAATCATTCTAAGTCAATCCACTTTTTGAAATACCATAAAGATTAAATTTTGAGCTTTCATAATGAGATACAGGTGTGTTAAGGCTGTATTCCCAGAGCTTTTAGATCGATCTATCCCCACGGAGTCTCACTAGATTACTGTTAGATAATCCGGCTTAAATGCCCGTCACGCCTACTACAAGCTGTAAGGGGGTAATTAACTTTCGTGCCTGCTCGGCTGACAACTATTTAGGGTGAACCCCCAGGGAGTTAGGTCGATCTAGTTGGATCGATCTAATCTCTGGTAATGGGGTCTTAAGACATTTATTGGGAATGATAATTAAGTGTGATAGGTTGATTTTGCATCCATTTGAAAATTGTCCATTTTCCCTTATTTTGGTAGGTTTGAATATGGCAGTTTTTTTTTTTTTTTAGTTTTGGGATAAAAACAGATGACAGATGCAAGTGATGTTAGCCATCACTTAAAATTATTTTTATTGTAAATGCACCATGTGTCTGTTCATAAAAAATAATTACATATATGTATATAATGAGACGAGCAAATACTGGTACTGTTACATGAACAATGTTCGACATATGCTGCACCTTTATGTTAAGTCAAAATGTTTTTTTTAAGATTAACTGGCAAGACCTTGAGTAAATATCAACTGATACGATCAATACATGTTGTATCTGTTCATACATACTGCTTAATTAAGAATATATGTTAGTAAATTTATACACAGAATATTGTACATCACAGGATTTATAGTGTTGTCTTGAAGTATTTTTTAGACACCCTTACAGTATTTTGACCAATTAAGTTGCTACCATGCCTCTTTTTATTTTTCTTTGCATGAAATTAATATAGGTCAGAACTGTGTATCATGTATTCATAAAAAAAAAAAANCGGTGCTGCATATATGCTGAAAAAAGTGAAAAAACAGCATAAATTCCCTAAAAGTGACCTGATCATGCTGATTTTCGAACTTGACCTGCGTATTATGAATATTCATCAGTTCTGTATCGTGTTATCGGTAAAAGTGCACGGCGACGACGGCAACGACGGCGACGACGGCGACGACAGACGCAGATGATGGCTATATGTACAGACACATCTGTGTCTGTAAAAAAAAAAAAAAGCAGCCATATTAGATTTTGTCCGTTTCCATATTTACGAACTAGGCATTTGCCATTCCCACATCATGGATAACTTGACCAGCACACTCTGAGCATTCAACTGAGCATTTCAGGTCTGTGCATAAATAAAGCACTTTTTTGGGATTTGCAGCTCATCTCACACCCCCATAAACGTGTTTCCAACTGTTTAGTTAATTTGGCTATGCTGAATACTTTCGACTCTTATCTGGTTATGAAGATGTCAAAATATTCTGAAAATGATCTGATACAGACCTTATCATCAGCTGAGTATACTACTCAAATTTCCTTCATATGGCATAAATCAATATGTACATAAACATCATTGATATCTACAATTTTTGTTCTTTATTTCTCTGTCCATAAAAAGAACTTCATTGCACTTGAGAAAAATTTCTCAGTATCTGTGGTAAATTGCCTTCATCCCGACCTATGTTTTCTTTATCTTTATTCATCTCATTTGCTTTTTTATTTTTATTTTTTTAATATACTTCCATTGTCTATGATTGTGGGGGTTTTTTTGTCCTCTTATAGTATGCAATTTTTCATATTTTGCTTATTAAAATAAAATATCACAACACTGAATTGATAAAATCTCTTATAGTTCAAAATGTGAAAAGTGTCGTATTGGAGATGTCCGCCATATTGCAACTTTTCCGTCTCTACTCCCAGATCCTGATATGACATATCGGCTCTCAGCAGTACACAGGGATCGTATGGTGTCACTGTGGGCTTTCAGAGGTTCCTGCTTCTCAAAACTGCGACTATTGAATATATACATGTATGCCTCTTTGCAGTTTCTCATCATTTTTGAGCCTGCCCATATCTGAAAAGAAAAAAATACCAGTATACAGATGTTTAGTTAAATTTTAAGGAGATGAATATATTAAGAGCTCATTACTTACATTGATGACAAGGGTAATGACATAAACCAACAATNGTATCGTGTTATCGGTAAAAGTGCACGGCGACGACGGCAACGACGGCGACGACGGCGACGACAGACGCAGATGATGGCTATATGTACAGACACATCTGTGTCTGTACATAAAAAAAAAAGCAGCCATATTAGATTTTGTCCGTTTCCATATTTACGAACTAGGCATTTGCCATTCCCACATCATGGATAACTTGACCAGCACACTCTGAGCATTCAACTGAGCATTTCAGGTCTGTACATAAATAAAGCACTTTTTTGGGATTTGCAGCTCATCTCACACCCCCATAAACGTGTTTCCAACTGTTTAGTTAATTTGGCTATGCTGAATACTTTCGACTCTTATCTGGTTATGAAGATGTCAAAATATTCTGAAAATGATCTGATACAGACCTTATCATCAGCTGAGTATACTACTCAAATTTCCTTCATAAGGCATAAATCAATATGTACATAAACATCATTGATATCTACAATTTTTGTTCTTTATTTCTCTGTCCATAAAAAGAACTTCATTGCACTTGAGAAAAATTTCTCAGTATCTGTGGTAAATTGCCTTCATCCCGACCTATGTTTTCTTTATCTTTATTCATCTCATTTGCTTTTTTATTTTTATTTTTTTAATATACTTCCATTGTCTATGATTGTGGGGTTTTTTTTGTCCTCTTATAGTATGCAATTTTTCATATTTTGCTTATTAAAATAAAATATCACAACACTGAATTGATAAAATCTCTTATAGTTCAAAATGTGAAAAGTGTCGTATTGGAGATGTCCGCCATATTGCAACTTTTCCGTCTCTACTCCCAGATCCTGATATGACATATCGGCTCTCAGCAGTACACAGGGATCGTATGGTGTCACTGTGGGCTTTCAGAGGTTCCTGCTTCTCAAAACTGCGACTATTGAATATATACATGTACGCCTCTTTGCAGTTTCTCATCATTTTTGAGCCTGCCCATATCTGAAAATAATACCAGTATACAAATGTTTAGTTAAATTTTAAGGAGATGAATATATAAAGAGCTCATTACTTACATTGATGTTAAGGGTAAACCAACAACCCATGCCAAAAGTGTCACATAGACATTAATGAAAGTTTGCTGACTTAATCAATGTTTAAATTAAATATTTTGACTGCAAAGTTAGAGTAAAATAAATCAATTAAAAATATCATCAGTTGCAGTTTTCTTCCCACAAAATAAATAATGAGACTTAAAATCAATGTTTTGGCTCATCCATCATCCATAAGTGTGATATCAGAAAAAAGTAAAACAGGTAATGTTTTAACAAAATTAAAATTTAATTTAATAATTCAAATTATTCAATAAAAATACAGTATCAGCCTCAAATTGAATGCAATTCAGCTATGGTTGCAGGGTGACATCTATGGCTGTTTGTTTGACTGTTTCTGCATTACATCGTAAGCTTAGATTTACCTCTAATCATAATGTTTTAATTATACTAGAGATCTTACATTGTCTCCAACTTGTGTGAGCTTGGTAAAACCCCTGGATTTGTCCACCTCCAGACACGTGACGCGTTCTTTGAAGTTATCTACATCCCACACCGTTATCATTGGCACGTCATCATGGCCGACCCACACTGTGGCATTGTGGGATGTCTGCTGAAACAAATAGAGTTTAAATTCAGTTGTGTGTACTTGCCACATTGCATGAGTTGTTTTATGAAACAATGAGTTTTACTAGAAGCCAATGACTAAGGCATCACAGGTAATGTACCAATAGTAATAACACTGCCACTGCATGAATTGTAATAATTATTGGAAGAAATATTCATTTCATTTGTCAAATGGATTATAAACAGACAGAATCAATATTTTAAGCTTTGCATAATGATATGGATATTTCAATTTTGCACTTTAAGTGTAACAAGCTGTCTTTGAATTGATCAAATAGAATTATTGTCAAGGTGCTAAAAGTAAGTCTTACAAGGGAGGTACTTATTTTTTGACACAAGTCTCAGGCCTGTAGCCAGCAATTTCAAAAGGGGGGTTCTTTTTCTGAAAAAGTGGACCTTTTCCCATAAAATCTTCATGTACTTAGATTAAATTTTACCCAGAGTGGACCTTTTCCCAGCAAAAGGGGCGGTTCTTTCGAACCCCCCAAACCCCCCCCTGGCTATGGGCCTGAGTCTTAACACTTACATTATTCTCATCTCCTTTGACAATAAGAAAACAGGAAAATCTGTACGGTCTGTTATGTTGCTGGTCTTGGTATGTGAGTTCTCTCTTCATTTTACCATCATCCACTGATATCACAGCTATGGACTCTCCTGAATCTGAAACAATGACAAAAATAAATAGATAAATAAATAAATAAATGGGGTGTCTTTGAAGCTAGGTTAAATGGCAAATGAGGCAGAGTTCGAAAGAAAATGTTCGATCACTGGTGTAAGAAGAAGGAAAATGGTGGAACAGAAACTTCTGGAGAGATCAAACAAAGAGCTGAAGATCAAGATGGAGACTCTGAACCTGCTTTGCTGCAGACAATCAAGAGAGAGAGATAAATAAGGAGAAGACTATAAAGAACTGGGCAATGCAAAGGGGGGGGGAGAAGTTGGAGATCGTTGGGACCTGGAGTTAGAGAAAAATAAGACAGCAAAGCTTGCAAATATACAGACACTAAAGAGAAAATATCCTTCCCCAGAGAGAGAGCTGTCAGCTGGAGTTAAAGAAAATAATCAACAATCAATATGAACTGAGCGGAACCATATTTCAATGGGAAGAAAAATAAAATATGAACTGGACTGAGTGGACCACAAAAGAAAGAGAGAAATGAGTAAGAGAACCTTGATCAAAAACCCACATAAAAGAGAGAGAGAGAGTTCTTGCACAAAGAAAAATGAATACAATAAAATGAAACTCAGACCACTTACTTTTCAAACACCACAACTCATCACGGAAAAACATTATGGCCTTAATTCCTCCATCCACTCTCAGTTGTTTCAGCTCTTTGAGTGTTGAGGTATCCCAAACCACTATTTGGCCATTTAGGCTGGCAGAATACACCGTGCTGGAAGTGAAATACACATAATGAAGGAACTGAAGGTCCAACCTAGGCCTAGCATACTATAAAAAACAATAAATTATTGAAAACTAAATTGCCTCACTCCAACATGTAAGCAAAATGTTAGAATTATACTCATTCAACTTAGAAAAATGAAATTTAAAGATACTTAACTGCTTTTTCATAAATCCGTTAGTGATTAAGTAAAGTACTTTATTTAGCTTAAAACATCCACTGGCAGTTATTTGGGGGAAATTATCTAATATCCAACAGTAGGCCAAGGACAGGATGAAAGTTAGTGTGTTTACCAGAAATTACCACATTATTAATAGTGAAACCTGTTATCCTATCAAAGTGCTCATCATTGAATAACACCTTTCTCAAAGGAACCCATAATCAAAGCAAAACAGACCAATGTTTACTATAGAGGGAGGAACTTTGTATGGGAGGAGTCAAGTGGAAGGGGAGGGGAAGCCATTTGGAACTTAAAATACAGGGTTGCTGAAAGTAACAGCTAAATTAAATACAGAATAAAGTCTGCAATCTCTCACCTGCCGTCGTCAGATATGGTGAGATCACACACCTGGTCTCTGTGGGCCACCAGCTGGGAGTTGGCACGCTTGCTGTGCCTGTCAATCACGTAGATGACGCTGTCAAATGACCCCGCCCACACCTGACTCTCCCCAACTGCCAGCAGACACACCTGGGAAATATTGGATCACTCTGTCAATCATTGTTACAAACCAAAGTTAAAGTAGACACTCTTAGTTGTCATTCATTGGCTGAAACCAAGCCAACACCTGGATGTGACTGCTATAAAAGGTCATATCATTTTTACTCATTAAAATAAATTTAAAATATCACTTTTAATATAATAATATAATAATATGTTTCGAGTCTAAAATCCATTAAATGTTCAACAGACTGTACAACATAAAATACAAAGTTTATAAAAATGATTAAGATATATGTTATATAAATCAGAGCTAGACTAAACTGTAATAAACAGTAATTAAAAGTAAAAAGTAAAAAAATCAGAGAAACACTGATTTTTATGTGAAACACACTAAGACTTACAACCGTGTGGGTAACCTTTAAATTTAATTAATGTTGGATGACTCCAAAACAATTCATTAAAAATAGAATTGCTAACTCGGTAAACACACTCCTTGAAATAATTTAACAATCTAAATCATTAAGTGAAACATTCTTACCACTCTGTCCTTAGCTTTAATGTTGGAAGCCTCCAAAACCCAGGTACTGGCATCATACACCTCCACCTTCCCATTACCCATAGCACACCACAGCTTGGGTGTGCTGTCCTCATCTTCATCCCCTACACGGCCTACAGAAATAGAAACACCATTGTGTTAAATGAGATTTAGCAATCAAAATTAGGAACAACTTTCCTGAGGGTGCTGTTCTTGTCCTTGTCCCCCACAAATTAAATTCCAAGCAAAATTATGGTAGTATTACTAATTCAACAAAATAAATAGTTACAGTAATACTATTTTCTGCTCAATATACTCTAATTAAAATCTAAAACGTCAGTTATTTGACTTACTGCCAGGAGTATACAACAGTGCCTCCACAGCGCGGCTATCGCGCTCTCGCTGGTTAGGGTTGACGCGATGTTGGAGCAGACCAGACGTCTTCTTCCAGCTGGCATCCAGGGCAGAGTCTGTCTGCTGCTGTTCTCTCAGCATAGTGAAGTAACACAATTTGTTGGCTGCCTCCTCCAATTGCTCGTGATGCATCACAGTTTCTTCTTGCCCACTGAGAATTTCAAAAGATTGTAAAATACTGTCACATTACATATATCATTCATAAAGGGGTTAGGTTTTAAACAAATCATTTAAAGATATTTCATTTTTGAGTGATTATCATAAAATGTGCAGCCTGCAGTATTTGTGAGATAAAATTTAACAAAACAATAAAGGGCAAGCTGTTCTCTTTAAATTTCATTTTGCCAATTGATCATTTATTAGGCTAAAAAGGCTGACATCTTTTAATGGAATGAACAGGGCTAGTACCATTAATATAACATGTAAGTCGATCCAGGTTAGATGTTAAATTTGACAATTGGGACACAGCTTATTGTGATAGGTGTGAAAAAGTCTATTTTTGATAGTTATGACATTCTGTATTGTGATTGGTATAAAAATGTGTATTAACTTGGATGGGAAGTGTGAATTGAGTAAGAAACAAGNATCTGTGTCTGTACATAAAAATACAGTATCAGCCTCAAATTGAATGCAATGCAGCCATGGTTGCAGGGTGACATCTATGGCTGTTTGTTTGACTGTTTCTGCATTACATCGTAAGCTTAGATTTACCTCTAATCATAATGTTTTAATTATACTAGAGATCTTACATTGTCTCCAACTTGTGTGAGCTTGGTAAAACCCCTGGATTTGTCCACCTCCAGACATGTGATGCGTTCTTTGAAGTTATCTACGTCCCACACCGTTATCATTGGCACGTCATCATGGCCAACCCACACTGTGGCATTGTGGGATGTCTGCTGAAACAAATAGAGTTCAAATTCAGTTGTGTGTACTTGCCACATTGCATGAGTTGTTTTATGAAACAATGAGTTTTACTAGAAGCCAATGACTAAGGCATCACAGGTAATGTACCAATAGTAATAACACTGCCACTGCATGAATTGTAATAATTATTGGAAGAAATATTCATTTCATTTGTCAAATGGATTATAAACAGACGGAATCAATATTTTAAGCTTTGCATAATGATATGGATATTTCAATTTTGCACTTTAAGTGTAGCAAGCTGTCTTTGAATTGATCAAATAGAATTATTGTCAATGTGCTAAAAGTAAGTCTTACAAGGGAAGTACTTATTTTTTGACACAAGTCTCAGGCCCGTAGCCAGCAATTTCAAAAGGGGGGTTCTTTATCTGAAAAAATGGACCTTTTCCCATAAAACCTTCACGTACTTAGATCAAATTTTACCCAGAGTGGACCTTTTCCCAGCAAAAGGGGCGGTTCTTTCGAACCCCCGAACCCTCCCTGGCTATGGGCCTGAGTCTAAACACTTACATTATTCTCATCTCCTTTGGCAATAAGAAAACAGGAAAATCTGTACGGTCTGTTATGTTGCTGGTCATGGTATGTGAGTTCTCTCTTCATTTTACCATCATCCACTGATATCACAGCTATGGACTCTCCTGAATCTGAAACAATGACAAAAATAAATAGATAAATAAATAAATAAATGGGGGTGTCTTTGAAGCTAGGTTAAATGGCAAATGAGGCAGAGTAAGAAAGAGAATGTTCAATCACTGGTGTTAGAAGAAGGAAAATGGTGGAAAAGAAACTTCTGGAGAGATCAAACAAAGAGCTGAAGATCAAGATGGAGACTCTGAACCTGCTTTGCTGCAGACAATCAAGAGAGAGAGATAAATAAGGAGAAGACTATAAAGAACTGGGCAATGCAAAGGGGGGGGGAGAAGTTGGAGATCGTTGGGACCTGGAGTTAGAGAAAAATAAGACAGCAAAGCTTGCAAATATACAGACACTAAAGAGAAAATATCCTTCCCCAGAGAGAGAGAGCTGTCAGCTGGGGTTAAAGAAAATAATCAACAATCAATATTAACTGAGCAGAACCATATTTCAATGGGAAAAAAAATAAAATATGATCTGGACTGAGTGGACCACAAAAGAAAGAGAGATATGAGTAAGAGAACCTTGATCAAAAACCCACATAAAAGAGAGAGAGAGAGTTCTTGCACAAAGAAAAATGAATACAATAAAATGAAACTCAGACCACTTACTTTTCAAACACCACAACTCATCGCGGAAAAATGTTATGGCCTTAATTCCTCCATCCACTCTCAGTTGTTTCAGCTCTTTGAGTGTTGAGGTATCCCAAACCACTATTTGGCCATTTAGGCTGGCAGAATACACCGTGCTGGAAGTGAAATACACATAATGAAGGAACTGAAGGTCCAACCTAGGCTTAGCATACTATAAAAAACAATAAATTATTGAAAACTAAATTGCCTCACTCCAACATGTAAGAGAAAGGTTAGAATAATACTCATTCAACTTCGAAAAATGAAATTTAAAAATACTTCACTGCTTTTTCATAAATCCGTTAGTGATTAAGTAAGGTACTTTATTTAGCTTAAAACATCCACTGGCAGTTATTTGGGGGAAATTATCTAATATCCAACAGTAGGGCAAGGACAGGATGACAGTTTGTGTGTTTACAATAAATTACCACATTATTGATAGTGAAACCTGTTATCCTATCAAAGTGCTCATCATTGAATAACACCTTTCTCAAAGGAACACATAATCAAAGCAAAACAGACCAATGTTTACTATGGACGGAGGAGCTGTGTATGGGCGGAGTCAAGGGAAGGGAGAGGGGAAGCCATTTGGAACTTGCAATACAGAGTTGCTGAAAGTTACAACTATATATACAAAATAAAGCCTTCTATTTCTCACCTGCCGTCGTCAGAAATGGTGAGATCACACACCTGGTCTCTGTGGGCCACCAGCTGGGAGTTGGCACGCTTGCTGTGCCTGTCAATCACGTAGATGACGCTGTCAAATGACCCCGCCCACACCTGACTCTCCCCCACTGCCAGCAGACACACCTGGAAAAGAATGTATCAATCTGTTAATCACTGTTGCAAACTAGACCCATATTAGTTTCTAATCCAGTTACAGGAGACATTCCTGGATTGTTGAAAGGACATTATGTGCCAATCATTGGTTGAAACCTAGCCCACATTCAACTGTGACTGCTCAATAAAAATCAAATTATTTTCAAACTCATAAATTAAAACCATACTCTTTTCAGGTGAAACATTCTTAATATGCTGTCTGTAACCGTGATATTGGTTGCCTCCAATACTGTTCATGAAGAGTAAATATATTCATTTTCTCTTTGAAATAAATATTAAGTTCATTTTTTAACACCCTTATTACCACTCTGTCCTTAGCTTTAATGTTGGAAGCCTCCAAAACCCAGGTACTGGCATCGTACACCTCCACCTTCCCATTACCCATAGCACACCACAGCTTGGGTGTGCTGTCTTCATCCTCATCTCCCACGCGGCCTGGAGAAATAGAAACACCATTGCGTTAGATGAGATTGTACAATCAGTATATCGTAATTAAGAACAACTATCTTTAGGGTACTGTCCTCCTTCTCATCCCTTACATGGCCTGGAGAAATTGAAACACCATTGTTTGAGGTGAGAGTAAGTATTCAAAATTAAGAACAGGCAGCTCTTCTTGTCTTTGTCATCCACAAATTAAATTCCAAGCAAAATTGATTACAATACATGGTCTATAGCATTACTAATTCAACAAAATGAATTGTTACTTTAACAGTAATACTATTTTGTGCTCAATATACTCTTATTAAAATCTAAAACGTCAATTAATATGACATACTGCCAGGAGTGTACAACAGCGCCTCCACCGCCCGACTATCGCGCTCGCGCTGGTTAGGGTTGACACGATGTTGGAGCAGACCAGACGTCTTCTTCCAGCTGGCATCCAGGGCAGAGTCCGTCTGCTGCTGTTCTCTCAGCATAGTGAAGTAACACAACTTGTTGGCTGCCTCCTCCAATTGCTCGTGATGCATCACAGTTTCTTCTTGCCCACTGAGAATTTCAAAAGATTGTAAAATACTGTCACATTATATATATCATTCATAAAGGAGTTAGGTTTTAAACAAATCATTAAAAGATATTTCATTTTTAAGTGATTATCTTAAAATGTGCAGCCTGTAGTATTTGTGAGATAAAATTTAACAAAACAATAAAGAGCAAGCTGTTCTCTTTAAATTTTATTTTGCCATTTGATCATTTATTAGGCTAAAAAGGCTGACATCTTTTAATGGAATGAACAGGGCTAAAACCATTAATATAACATGTAAGTCGATCCAGGTTAGATGTTAAATTTGACAATTGGGACACAGCTTATTGTGATAAGTGTGAAAAAGTCTTTTTTTCATAGTTATGACATTCATAGTTATGTGATTGGTATAAAAATGTGTATTAACTTGGATGGGAAGTGTGAAATGAGTAAGAAAAAATGTGTATTGTGTTAGGTGCGATAATATGCATTGTGTTAGATGTGAAAATGGACACTGTGCTAGATGTAATATTGTGCATTGCATTAGGTGTGACATTTCAGTCCTTCCCCTGTAAAATTCTACCTTTTGATCACAGCATCAATGAGTATCACATTCTTAGCTGCCTGCTGTATCAGACCCGGGTCCTTGTACTCCTCGGACATCAGCTTGCCTGACCACATCTCTGTGATCAGAGTGAACCAGTAGTTCCGCTCCTCCTTCAATATGGCTGTGAAGACAACCTGGGTGGTATCTATAATTTTAAAAAGTGGAATTTCCTCAAATTTAAATATATTTTTTCAAAACTGGAATTTGAAATTTGAAAGGCTGTCCAGTACATCAGAAATGGGTTAGTTAAGAATCAATAACATTTTGGTGGGGATCCTATTTATTAATCAAACATGAAAACTGAGATCCTTTGTAGTAGTTTGCACTCTTTGTGTGTTTTTCTAGTTTGACAACTTCACAAATGATATTGTCTCAGGTTCTCTAACATTGCATCACTTCAACAACTGTCAAAGAGAAATGTTCCAGTATCGTCTACCAACCCATCACTTTGGAGTAAATCTTCAGAGAATTTTCCCTTTTTCCATATATGGAGTACCCTTCTGTAGATTTCTCCAAACATATGATGTCCCGCAGTCGAACTATGTCACAAAATCTGTGGGTCCCTTCACATATGAAGCACAACCTTTACACAAAATAGAAGATAAAAAAAAAACATTTCAAATTAAAATAACTTAAAAGCAGATTTTGGTCAAAGCAAACAAAATGTAAATATTTACACAAAATTTTAAAATATCCTTTTTAGTATCAGGAGGCTAAGAACATGTCTATCCTGCAAAAAAAATCATAAAAAAATTTAAATAATTTTTTTATATTATATCTTGTCCTCACATGTATACCAATGGACATATAATAATTTTCCCTTTTTTGGTGATAGAGGCAATGAAAAAACTAATGTAGCTTGTGCATTGATCTAGCCTTTAGGCAAGGGTCTCAAACATATATTCATGTTGTCCAAACTTAAAACAGTTGTCATCCCTTTAAAACTGTACCCTATGCATTAAAATCTAAAAGTCTAATTCACATTTGCTTTTTACTCCTAAACTGGGTACACACACACACACACACACACACACACACACACACACATGCACATGCACAATATATAACACTCCCTTCCTTCTCTGTGTCAACATTTGTCTTCCACACACACACACACACACAACCATACACACATGCACACAGACATGCATGCATGTATCCATGCACCCACACACACATGAACACACTTACATGCACTCACACACACGCATGCACACACACACACACACACACACACACACTTACACACACACACACTTACACACACACACACACACACACAAGCCTACCTTCTCTGTGTTAATATCAATCTCCCAGGTCCATAGACCTCCATGTTGCCAGAGTCTACGTCCTTAAACCTCCCCCTGGTGTCAATCATTTGAGATACTTTCAGAATGCACTCATTCTCGCCAAGGCATCCCTCGGGAATTTTGGGTTCATGGCAAGTGCTCTCGTTTTCTTTCAAGCATTCATAAAAAACAGTAAATGTGCCAGGGTCCAGGGGTGTATACACTGATTCAGAAGATGAAACAAAATTATTTTACAGTTATAATAATTATCATATTGGATCCATTGAAAAAAATATTACCTTGAAACACTGAGAACAATGGGAAAATGTTTTCACTCAACTAGAATATGAAATGTAATCTTTCTTTAAATATATAATAAGCTTCACACACTCGATTTCATCCTCATCAAACTCAATCAAAACTAAGTGAACAAGTAATATCACCATTACAATGAGATGTTATTAACAAAAGCTGTAATACCCAACAAAAATTATACATAACAAGGTTGCACATTTAGCCATCACACCCAATACAATGAGTTGTCACATCTAACACAATGACCATTCTCACCTAACACAATGAACATTCTCACCTAGCACAACCAGCCACCCACACCCAGCAAACTATACCTACTCTGGTTGTCCTGACAAGTGACAGTCAGTGCATTAAACAGCCGCTGAATGGTGTCATGGTCAGATGCTATGTCCATGTATTCCACCAGGCTGGAGAAGTCTTGGATATCTTCAAATAAAGAAATATAATAATACTGTATGCTAAGTTAACAACTGTAAGAAAATTTTAAAAAATAATAAAAATACAATATGGATACAGTATATATGAGACTTTAATCTCAATTTCATACATACACTAATTAGAACATAGTTCTGGACAATGTCTGTGAGTTCATCATGCTGACAATATCACAAGAACTCTAGCTGGCCACTGATGGCTCACCTATTGGCAACAGCAATGCATTAAAATGACACCCTCTAATTATCCTCATGGACTCAGTTACATCAACCACTACAAACCATGACAATTCTATATTAATAATATTAAGAGAAACAATATACATACAAATAGGGTCTTCTGGAATTTTCTCAAACTCCATGATAATCACAATGTCGTCCCCGCGTTTCCCCTTGCTCTCCTCAATCCTCTGCAGCTGTTCTGATCTCTTGTACCACTCCTGGAGGCTCAGGATCTCTTTCTGGGTGGGAGTTAATCTGGCTATCACACTCCCTACTTGCCTGGAAACAATGCACAGTGTAATAATAATAATAAGAAAAATGAGACAAAAAAATTAGAAAAATGCTAACAAAATAATAATTAATAACAGTAGTGCTATTATTTTTATCTTTATTATTACTGTTATCACCATCATTATTGTTACTGTCGTTAGTTGTTATTAATGCCATTATTATGGACTGGGAGGGCTCATCATAAAAAATTGACAAGCTTAAATATATAGCTGGGTTAATACACTTCTCAGAAGAGAGCATCATATTTGAAACTCAGGGTGATAGACTAAGCAACCCCGTACATCTTCAAAAATATTTGCACCTACTTGCTGGGGAAGAGTGCTTTGTTGTATTTGCAAATGGCATCAAAATCTCTCAGTCCTCGAATTGGTTCATCGCAGGCAATCTGTAGTGCCCCTCTCAAGTACAGGTAGACTGCCTTCCTTGGGAACATGTTGGCTTGCTTACAGCACTGAAAATATAAAACTATAACTTATTACAAAACTTCTCTAGCAGTTGTTATCATTTCATAATAATTAAATTGCTATTATGAGTAATATTAACAGTAATTGTCATTGAATCATATATTACATAAATGAAGTTTCTCATCTGAATGTCATCAATTACACTTAATTTCAAGTCCAGTAATAGATCTGAAAAAATACATTAAATTTAGTATCTGGCAATTTTCAATATATAAGGAAAATCTGCATTCCCTTTGGCCTTTAGGTGCAAAGGTAATACAAAATGCAATCAAAATTTGTTCCTATAGAAAACAACTCACAAACATCTGACTAAATACTAACTTTCTCCCTCCGTGTCAGCTCCTCCATGAGCACTTTGTGATACCCTGCCACAGACTCGAACCTGAACCTAGGAAGCTGGAAGACAATGTAGTCTGTCTTGGAGGTGAGAGCACCTGTGTGTCCAGACCACGCGGGCCGTGGGCTACTAAACAGGTTGCTGTAACTGGGGGTCCTTTTCTTTAACTGGCCTGGCCTCACTCTGATAATAATTGACAAGAACAAAATATAGACACTTTTTAAAATATATTAATACAAATTTTGTAACAATGTAAAGAATTTAAAAGAAAACAATAAAATTTACATAGCTTTTTCAATAATACAATGTGTTAAACAATGCTTTAAATTTTAAATTACTGAAATGTATAAACTATGTGTAAACAATATCATGTTACACAATTCATTCGTGGTACCAAAACTGCTGTACCCTATCCAAACTAAAGCAGCAATATGTTTCACCCTCTCAACTATCAAAATCAAAACTTACTGATCATCTGGGTTCTGGAACTTTGGTCCAGCATGTTGGCGAGTCGCTAGTTTCATCTTGTCCTCAAATTCATCGAAAAAGTCTGCCCCTTGAAACCGTGATCTGACAAAGGCCTTGAAAAGTTCCGTGGAGACAACCTGAATTATGGACAAAATGCTCAACTGCTGAGTAGACAATTGAAGAGGCTTCAGAGAAAGATCTAAATCCAAGGTTATTTTTACATAACATTTAAAATTACCTTATAATTTTGGATAGTAATATGGTACTTCATGAAAAAAAAAAAAAAGCTTTGCTGAACAAGGCCGTATTTGTATGCCAATTTCTCAAAAGGTCTGGTTCATATAAGCATACTGCTCAAAGTGAAAAGGTCAAGGAAAAACCTAATCACCATTCTTTGATAACATTTTTTAAACTGCACCTAATGACCTTACCTCTCTATAAAAAGGTAGTTCTTCTTCTCTTTGATTTTCCAAGAACTGATCTTTGTTGAAGAAGCTGCTGGCTTCTCTGATATATTTCTTCACTTCTCTAAAATTATGCAAAATTGAAATTAAAAAAAATAATAAATAAAATAAATTTGATAAAATTAATTGCTTATTAAATCAGTGATGGTGTTTAAATACACATACTGTCCGTTAAGCCTCAATAGAAAGCAGCACTTACAAGAAAAACAGGCAAATACTTTTCACCCATGTAAAACTCTTCATACTTATTTAAGGGGGGAGAAAAAAGGAACAGAAAAATAGGCAAGCGAACTACAAATTCGTAGCACACCTAAGTCCTTTCACTAGAAATATTTAACCATGATTTCCAGAATGACTACTAGTAGATGCAAATGATGATGTAAAGTCACACCTAACACAATCAAACAATGTCACAACTAACACAATGCCAAACCTAACACAATAAAAAAACAATATCACACCTAGCACAATGCCATGTCTATCACTATGCCATTCATTCCATAATCAGTAAATGCCACGCCTAACACAATAAAATAAATGCATGGCATCATTCCTAAGGTAATAAACAATAGCACAATGCCACACCTAACACAATCAAATTGTTACAAAATGTCACACCTAACACAATCAAATTGTTACAAAATGTCACACCTAACACATTCATCTCACCTATCACATTACTCACCTGAAGAGGTTCACCATGAGTTCTAGACACACTGCCTGGATGTCCTTGTTGATCTGGAGCTGGAACATGTCTCTGTTGTGTGTCAGCTGCTCCAAGTTGACAGGACAGGGTCTGAAGTCAGGAAAAACTACTGATAACATGCTTTCAAAATTACAATTAGAAAATCACTCAGAGAGCTCAGGATAAACTGAAAAGCCCTAGGATTAAAACAAATAAATTAAACATGCTTTTCATTGACACCATATCAGTATTATTTATTCATCAAGTTAGTTATTTTCATTCTGATATTTTGCAAACATTTTTCAATCTCTTTCATTTTTACAGAATAAGTACCCTTTGACCATAAGCCACTTAGACTCCAAGAAATCTGTTTCAATCTAAGGTAATTTTCTTTTTTTTTAAAACTAAACTTCACAAAGCTTAGATATTTGGAATAAGCAGATGCTCTTAGTTGTGAAGCATTCTGGTTAAAACAATATTCAGAACAACAATCAAATCAGTGCACAACTAACACAATCAACAAATACTGACCTCTCCACTTGGGCCATCTCCATGTTGAGTCTTGGTTTCATTTGTGTCACTGCCTGCTTAAAATCCTGTTCTGCTGCAAACGGCAGCTGTGGGATATTCAGGGTACTGCACACATCCACCGACCCATCGTCTATATTGACCGCCACTATGCCTTCAATCTAAAAAAAGACACAACAGAAATCATGTCTTTATCAAAATATTTTGAGAAGTAGAGTGATACCCCACAGTACTTCACCAGGCAATATTTTGTATGCTTACGGCTATCTACTTGAGTCAAAAAAGAAAAAAAAAACTGGAATGATGGGACTGAGCTATATCCAACTTCTATCTACCACTCTTGGGAGGGGGGGGGGGAGTCAGAAATAGGCGGAGCACCTGCCTGAATGAGCACACCAAAGGATGATGGGTTATCACAACTGTCACATTCCCAAACCTTGACAAAGTCTGGTTGTAAAAAAGGTAGAAGTAATGGATACTGTTCCATGAGCCCCTTCTGCATGGTGTGGCAACCCATAATAAAACAATCAGGGAGGGGGGAGGATGGGCAGACCTGACTTAATGGGCAAAGGTGGCAGGTTGTATCATCTATCACCTTGACTGACTGCTAAAAAAGTTGAGAAAAGGGGACCCTACCTGTTCAACAAGTCCTTTGTGTCTGGCATGGCATCCCATAATAAAACAACCTAGAGCCTCCAGCAGTGTCAGCAGCTTCTCAGGAATCAGGGGCACATAGGTATAGTTCCACACAAAGGGGCGGACGAAAACAAGAAAACTCTGAAAGATAATTATTATTTTGAACAAAATGTAAGGAATGAAGGAAATTTAGGGTTTGCTTAGAGAAAAGGAGAAAAGACAGCCCTTCTGATATGCAGAGATCATTTTCTTAATGATAATAACTATCTTTCTTTAAACATTAATATGAACAAAATTATTAAAACCAATCATTTTTAATATGCCTTTTTTTATAAAGAGGATAACTGATGTGATAGCCATAAACTATGTTCAAAATCAATCACTGAAAATTTTTGCCAAATCATTAAAAGATTAAAAAAGGCAAATTTACCATAAATAAGTCCTACTCTCTAAAAAAAATTTAAGATCTAGTGAAAAACGAGCCATTTCTTAAAAACAAAAAAATGACCATATACCTCCATCACAGTGGTCAGCATGGCATAACAGCTGGACATAAACACAATCCTCTGCTGCGTCAAAATACTTCGTATCACAGTCAAAATGGCGTCTGGGTCAAACTTGAGGAAGACGTGGTTGAGTTGCATGTTGACGACCTCCTTGTTTGGGTCATCTGAGGGGTAGAGGGTCACAGGGTACGTGTCCAGGTAAAACCTCTGAATCAAAAATTCAATATAAATGAATACATAGTACTCATATCTACCCTTGGGTAGCGCTAACAATTTTTTTCAATAAGCCAAATTGCTACTTATTCATCACTTTTTTCTTCAAATTGCGACATATTCATAACTTATTTCTCCAACCCTATTTTGTTTAGCCAAGTTAATTCAGTTTTAGCATTTGGCTGAATTGGTGAGTGTTCACGCCACCCCAGCTAATGTAACTAATGCACTGGATACTCAGTCTGGTGAAAACGTACTGGAACAACGATAAAAGATGATGATGCTAGGCCATATGACATTACGCTTTCTGCAATGTTTCAAGATAATGAAAGTGTCAACTACTGAATGAGTGAGTGAGTGAGTGAGTGAGTGAGTGAGTCAATGCCTAATTGAGTTAATGAACGAGTAAACAAATGTCTTGTCAAAAAATGTTTGAAACAAAAACAATGCAAAACTTGTTCTATACCAAAATCCAAGTTCTGAATAGAAAATTCTCTGTTAGTTAACTGAAGTTGGATGAAGATATTCTCAGTCAACAGATTAGACTTCAAGCTGGCATGTTTCAGAGTGAAGTTAAACTTTTTCCAGCCAAAAACCTAGGGTGGTTCTTTTGAACCCCCCCCCCCCCACAAACACTTTCAAGTGGGGCTTGTCAATCATAGTGCCAATGGGTAGTTCTACCACTAGAGGGCAGTACTTACAATGGCCACATTGCCAGCAGGTGGCACAGGTGTAGCAGACAACTGTAAGGCAAACTTTTCCAGAGTTGTCTTCACTTCTCTTGGGTTTGACTGCAGCTTGGGTACAAGACTGAAAAAACAACATTCATCATCTTACTTTTTACATTATCAAAATAAAAAATATTCTTTTTATGCTCCAACCAATTAAAACTTCAAAATATTAATAATTTTATTTATGAAAACTTTACCATGACAAGCACTCCTTCATTACAGTGAAGTAGGGATATTTGGATATTAAAGTCAGACAACATGGAATGTAGACTCTCTGGCCCATCTTGTGTGCAGAGCCATCTTCAATGAAGTCTTCAGGAATGGCATCATAATAGTGATCGTCTCCTTCCTCCTGTAAAATGCATTGTACTTTACATCAATATCATCAAGACTTAAAAACTAATAATCTGCCTTAGTGCTCAATATCTTGATTCATACACACAAGTTTGTTTCTATTCATAACNCCGACAAAGCCCAAATTTTACGTGGAACGAGTTGAGATTATAGGTGACCTAAATCCATGAGATGGGTATGGGGGGCCTTACCGTCTAGGAGGAGAAGCGGTAACGGTAGCCGTCCGGCGGAGCCGGCGGAGCCGGCGGAGCCGGCGGAACGATCCGGACGAGACCGAAACCATGTGTACCGCCAGCGCTAACGCTGGTGGTACAATTATTATACCTAACAGACAACTCAACAACCTTTTACACCTAACAGACTTAATGTCGCAACTAACACACTCAACTACTTGTCACACCTAACACAATCTTGCTAATATCTTGTCAACTAACATAATTCAAGCACAAACAACTAAGCTGTAACAATAAACAGTATGTTAAACATTACATAATATTCTATAACACCCCCCCCCTCCTAAAGGACAACAACCGTTCACATTTGACCCACTTACCACTCTACAACTCTTGCACATGAAAGATCTGGTGTACGTCGCACATGCAGCATAGGAGCGCTCTCCAGTGATGTCCGTCAGCACCAGGAAATGGATGTGGGTAGGCATGCTGTGGCGGTAGACCTTCATGCCATCTGAAATACATTTGTGCAATAAGGTGATGACACGGTATATTAAAATAAAACCTTACACTTTTCTTTGACAAAGAGGTTGACAAAGAGGTACAATTTTCTGCACTGTGAAGCTATAGGCATGGGGGTCTGTTCAATGAATCACTTTTTGTCCAGAAAAAGTCTGATCTAAATCAAATTTGAGGTTTCTTAACTGGCCTACTTTTTCATAAAAAAAAAAATGTCACCTTTTTAAAAGAAGCTTGACCTACATAAAATCCTTTTTCCAGTGATCACAATTACCAAATAGCAAAGTTTCACACCTAACACAATGTCACAACCAATACACACTAACCTGGAAAACAGAATGCTGTCAGAGACTGTATAACCTCCGCAGATATTGGCAGCTCTCCACCAGATGTACTGAGCATGCGCAGCATCTTACGACCACCTGCAATGGTGCCCAGGGTCACACGGCGTGGAAGGCTTTTGGCTATCCTGTAATAAACAAATAACGAGAATGTTTACAACTGCACGGGATGATGTGATTTGCACTTAAATATCAGAGAAAAACTGATGTTGTCTTGTTGTTTTATGTCATTTAATTGCTTGGTTAAGTCTCACAAAATGGCCAACTTAACTGTATAATCAAATTAAGACATCTTGTATTCATGAATGAAACTATAATGTCCATACTGTACTTAAACCATTCATGTGTCATGTGTGTCATTTCTGTGCGTCACATCTCATAAGTGTCAACAAGTGTGTACTTTATGTGCCAAATGACACATATAAATAAAATGTCACATTTTGTGTGTGTCCCAAATGATGAACAAGTTAAAATATTAATAGTTTCACATTTGCTGACATTAAAAATATTTGATTAAAAAAAATTGTCAACATAAAAGATGAACCAAGCAAAACACTTATCCATAATGCATGGGTTCATTAACAATACCTTTTTCTTTACAAAAACATAAAATTCTGGAAATTAACAAAAATTTGTATTTGGATTAGCTAAATAATTTGTTTTTAGCATTTGGAATAAAATTTGATACTAGTGTGAACAGGGATAATAGCATGCTTTTTCAAAGTTTAACATAATAAAAAATTCAAAAAACCTGACCAGATAAACTCTGTGCAGTGTATTCTTGCTACAATTAAAAGCATAAAGTTGACAATTCTTTGGACAAAAACACTGAAATTCTGATCAAACTCATCATTCTTCAATTTCATTAACTAAATTTTATATTTAAACATCCAGGGCCATGCAGTGAAAATTAACAAAACACAACCACACAAAGGGGTGAATATTTTCTGTCAGTGAAATCCACACTTAATCTGAGATGTGACAGAGTCAAAAAATTCTCCTAAAATCAGGGAAATCTATGAAAACCCACATGCAAGAACGTAATCAAATCAGCAAAATACTGTAAATTAGAGAATTCCTTGAATAATCACACTGCAAACTGAAGAATTTATTTCAGAACAATGTAGAACCAAACAAGTTTATAAACCCATATTTTGTTGTTTGTTCACATCACAGACACTGTTGTCAGGCAGTCCTATTCTGGAGAAGACTGACAATGTCGATTGAAAATTACACAAAAAATATAAAAAAAAAGAATGTTTGCACTGACTGTGATATAACTGTATGCAAACAACAAAATATCACGGATTTAATATCAGACTAATGGATTTCTTGTAGAAAAATCTGTTAACTCTTACATCAGTGCAGAAAAGAAAGAAAAAAAATAATGATGAGTTAACTTCATGCAGGTATAACATACCCCCAATCCTCTCTGCAGAGTCATATGAGAAAGTAGGTCAGTAGTATTATAACTACATTATTCAAATGTCAAGTAATTGTTGTTACCAGTAAATCATCTTTTTTCACAAAATTCATTTCTATGTCAGTTGTGGATTTGTCTATCTCCAAAAGGATTCTTGCTAAATTGTGATTAACCGCTTAGATGTCTGTCATGCTAGCTGCTAAGGGGTAAGGAATTATGAGTTAACAGCTTCAGTAGGCATGCAAGATATCTAAGCCCTTATGCTGAAACCAATTTAGCAAGAAACCCCTCAGTTATGGATCAATCCTAACAGATCTAGGTATGTTAACCCAGTCTAAATAAAACTAATGTAGTCATTGACGAATGCAGAGGTGTCACATTGACATTGAAACATATCTAGGAGTTTCATAAAATAGTAGATTGTGGCAAATTTTAAAGGGCATTAGCTACCATTAAACAATACCAAACTGATGAACCTTTTTCATTGTCAAATTACCATATTTTAAAAATTTCTCTTATTCATATTGTTGTTAATTGTTGAAGGGTGAATGGATTTCTGTTAGTACATATCTCTAGGAAACAAACTAGTATAGTATACACGATATTATATGGGTACACAGGAATGTAGAATAAGGAGGAAAAACACTGACTAAAACACATACAAAAAATTAATCAATTAATTAATTAATTAAATGGTTTTTGGTTCAAGATGGGTATGGTGTTGTGGTCAACAATTATTTCAACATAACTCACTAACTGTTACTGGTGAAGATAGAAGTGAACAAAAGAGACAAATTTTACCTTTTCCTTCGATCACATCTACATTTTAAGAGAAATATAATGGAGTTATAGTTGAAAGCTGGTACTGGTTTTTCTTCAAATTAAATAAATGTCATTTTTGAAGCTGAAGGACAAGTTGGTTTGGATTCATGACCTTTTTATAGTGAGAAGTGAAAAAAATTCAAATTAAGGTGGTTTATGAAGCCAAAGGACAGGATGGTTTTGCATTTAAAATTTTTTCAAAGTATGACGAGGAAATCAATATGAAGTATCTATGGGTTGAATGGATTTTAAATGGATAAATTTCAATGAAAACATGGAGTACCAGAGTTGCATGGCACCTCTACGCCTTGCGTGCTTACTGGAACATTAAGAAAAAATTCTGCTTAAATCTGGACTCAACTTAACAGATGCCTGAATGACGTGGATAAATTATTGTGTGCAAATTACTCTAATGCTAAAGAAAATAATTTTCAAATTTTGCTGACATTAGAATTTATTTTAGCCCACTAATTTGTTATAAATTTTTTTGAAACACACTGTGAGGCATTTCAATTTGTAACAAAATTTCTGAAAAACAAGTGAGGACTTCAAATTTAACACCAACACTTAGGTAACAAATGTATGTATTGTAGAGTTTTTTAAATTTAAAATTTCTCTATTTAACAATGGAAAATACACCATGTGTGCTGTCACAGCAGATTTTAGCTAGATGAAAAACAAGCTGAACATTACATACGCTCTGAAATGTGCATCCTCCTGTTCACTGATAGGGGTCAGCACTGTCCTGTTGTCTACAGCATCAGTGGGAGGATAAGCCTCATCCTGGTTCGGGAACGACTGAGGGAACATGGCACATTGCGCTGATATGGAGGCTAGCACCTGAGGCTCGTAGTTGCTGAGGAAAAGTGGGTCGTTGGCACTGCTGTCCGTCTGAAATTATGATAAAAATTATAATAATTACGAAGAAATTTATTAATAAAATACTATCAGGTAAGAACTGTTTGTTTAAGTCATCAACATTCCTCTGCATATCACTTTCTGCATCACTCATCTTTAAAGACCTTACTGTACCTTGGTAAAAATGTTTTTAAGAGACTATTTCTTCTACCAATAAGCCATGACATTTCAGCCCATCATCAAAGAGTGATGGTCACCTGACTGACTCATGACTGGCACTTTTATAGAAAATATCTACAATTTTACTATAATTAAATTAGATAAGTAAAAATATTTCACCAGCATATCCGTAAACATTTGCAGTCCACTATGCAAGAGTTAAAGAGTAATTTAGCCTCCCTACTTGCATAAATAATTAATAAATGATTAATAATAATAATAATAATAATAATACAGATCTTGTTTCATACTGGCATTACACACCATTGACCCATGGGTCAGTAATGGGTCAGTAATTGAATCTACAGGTCTACGTGGTCATAAACCACCTCAGAGTACATATAATCAAAGATTCATTTGAAGTCTACATACCACATTAGGTTTAAGTCCAGTCTCTTGGTCCAGTCCCACCATCACCAGCAGGTCTATCAGACTATTGTGGAGTCTAGAAGCCATGATGCCAGACTAGTCTCTGAAAGTAAATGTTGTCTGCATGACCATGTTAATAGAGGATATCAGGCAATAAACCCAACTTTAAGGGTGCATTCCCATAGATTTTAGATTGATCTATCCCCGTGAGGAGTCTCACTAGATTGCTGTCAGATAATCCGGCTTAAATGTCCGTCCTGCCTACTACAAGCTGTAAGGGGGTAATTAACTTTTGTGCCCGCTCAGCTGACAGATATTTAGTGTGAACCCCCAGGGAGTTAGGTCGATCTAGTTGGATCTGGGAATGGGGTCTTATATATAGTGATGTCAAGAAGCCATAACACCAGTAGAGTTTCTGTGAGGACAATGATAACAGGATTGAAGGGGGGAGGGGCAGTTGCCTCAGTTTTCAACCTTATATACTACACAGGTTAGGCCTCATTCCACTGGCCTGTATTACAAATTCTTGATGACTAACTAATGATGTTTGTATGTGGTAGTTGTTGTTTTATAGATGGAATAAAAAAGACTAAAATGTTATCAAACTGGTGCATGAACCAATACAAAAGGACTTAAAATGGGAATTATACCAGGTACTACATGTACACTACAAGGCATGACATAGGACACAGTTGTGTCTGGAAGTGGATATTTACAGCCTTGAGAGATTGAAATGCAGGGTGGAATACCAGTAAGGCTTTACCTGCAGTAACTACCTATAGCATGTATACGACCAAAAACTGATGCAAGGTGGAGGCTTCAATGGCCAGGTGAAAGAAACACCCTTTAAGTTTTAGTTGAAAAGAATGTCTTTGTGAATCTAAATTTCACCTACAGTACTGGTACTGTACATGTACATGTAGGTTCCTGCATTTTTTCTAGTCGATTATCTTGCAGCGCCTCTTTAGGTGGGAGAAAAACCACCTGCCAGACCAGGGATCGAAACCAAAACCTCTCGCTCACAGGGCGAGTGCTCTACCACCTGAGCTATCTGGCCGGTCCTACCCTGCATCTGGCACTACACTCCTCCCCCCAAATGCAGAAAGGCGGGAGCCCTATCTTGCACAACCACTGCCACCATTGTAGCGTCTTTTTGGGAAAGTGTAGAAAAACCACCTGCCAGACCAGGGATCGAACCCAGGACCTCTCGCTAACAGGGCGGGGCTGTAGCAATAGTCCGAAGGTTCAATAGTCCGAAGGTTCATTGGTCCGAATGTTCACTACAGAACCTTCGGACCAATGAACCCTTGATTAAAAAGCCGATGAAAATGTTACCGTTTTTCGGACCAATGAACCTTCGGACCAATGAACCTTGGACCAATGAACATTCGGACTATCGAGATGCCCCCAACAGGGCGAGTGCTCTACCACCTGAGCTATCCGGCCGGTTCTACCCTGCATTTGGCACTACACTCTCTTATTTTTTCTTAAACATGCTTATACTTCTTCCCAGAAATTTATGAAAAGAAATATGAATGGCTGATTTCAGATAAATGTTACTTTTCATTCACTATTTTGTCTTAAATATACTTTCGTTTTTACGTAAATCAAGTTCTTACAAAAAAGATACAACCGCTAGTACTTACCTTTGTACTGTACATGTACAGAGATTGTCCAGGATTTGTGAATATTTTCCAAGGGCAACTTTAGAACTTTTGGCTTCGAAGTTCTCCTTTCCAAGCAGGGAGATTCACACTTACATTTTAAAGTACCGTGCAAAGTCTTGCAACAGTAAAGTTTTTTTTTTAAGTCGATATATCGACTCGGGTAGTTTCAAATCAGCTGACTTGGATCTTGTGATACTGCGGTCAAAAAGAATCCACAATACCTTTTTCAATTGTAATCTCAGTCTTTTGCACATTCATGTCGACAAAGCGAATTCACCTTTGTATTGTCAATTGTTATGTTTTCTTGGAAGACTATCTTGATATAGCTGTTGCCCATCAAAAGTTCCCCGTGAAATTCACGAGTTACTTCCTTATATTTACGCGCGTGCACTGATAATGTTTTGCAAAGAATAGATAGTCAATAAATCTACAACTTATTGGTATAAAGTTACTTAATTACTCTAACAAGAATTATAATCAATCAAAATAATTCCTACATGAGAAAGTTAAAGATGTTTTATCGTCTAAGGCAAGAAAAGTTATAACGTATTTTCGTCTTTGATATTTCTGGCTTGCTATAGTAATAGTAAAATGGCGGCGCGCAGTTTGAACAAGAGAAGTCTTAAATCATCATACAATTTTCCAATTATAGCAAGAAATATTTGTTTTATCTCTGCACTTCTGTGTGTTTTATGTGCTTTATTGATAAAAAAATTAGGTGAGAGTAGATAGCGATTCTAACTGATTTTGATCAAAGAAATTTAACTTTTTGTTTCGCTAGTTTCAAGAGGGCTGGAATGTTCACTTCGGTTTTACTTTAGAGTTATTCTGTTAATGACTTTACTAATTTTACTTACAAAAAAGAATTGAATGAAACCCGACAAGTCATCGTATCTTAATTTGGTGTAATTTTGCACAAACTTTTCAGGATTAGGTCCACAGCAAATTCCCGAAGAAGTTCAAGTATACGGCGTTTGGTTCCAAACATTCCAAAGCTTATACAGTGTGGTATTCCAGCCAAAGGTTGAACCATCTGAATCATCCTGGACTCCATGGAATCAGCTCACGTCCTCTCTGACACAAACAACGACAACTGTCAAATATATTTTGGCAGCCTCTTCTTTATCAATGTTTGAATCAATGACAAATGCAACAGATTATTTAACAACACATTTTATATCATCTATGAACAGAACAAAACATGTCACAGAAGAAACATGGATGTTGACTATGAACAAAACAAGACAATTTACAGAAGGCACCTGGTTGCTAATTACTACCAACTCTACCATCCTCAGCTATTTTTATCTTTTCCAAACTTTCATGTTTCTCATAGGCATTTTACTATTTGTGATTTTGCTATGGAAATTCTGTGACAGGAGATTTTTAATAACTGGAAATATTCTGGAAGCCAGTGGAGAGAGCAGAGACAGGGAGGTGAATGCAAAGAGAACAGACACCAGAACACGAAATAAGAAATTAAATGGCGATTTAATACCCAGTGAGGAATCTACACCTCTTGTACTAAGAGAGATCCTGACTGGAGAGACCACAGTAAACTTGAGTTGGAGACAGTGTGTGTTGTACATATTGCTGGTTGCTACGGTGATTAGTATTCCTTGGGAGTTCATCAGAATGTACCAGCAGGAGGTGGCAAATAAAGCTGCCGTCTTGTATGCAGTAAGTATATATGAGCTCAATATACGTATAGGCCTTTTGCAGCTAGATGACTGAATGTTGACTTCTTTTGTTTACTGAAAGGCTTTCTCTAGCTGCAAAAGGCCTATTCTCCCAGAAATCAGTTAGCGTATTGCAACTTTGTTACTTGTATTATTTTGGCATAATCCTATATATATATATATTTCCCTTATTCATTTTCCATTCCTCTTATAAAATTGATACCCTACTACAGAGATTTCTTTTTATTATTATCATTTTTTTTTTTTCATTCCAGGGCACTCCCAAGGAATGTCTCCCGGAGTCTCTAGGTCTTCTCCCCTCCCTGAAGGCATGGTTCCACTGGGCTTTCTCCTGGGATCACAGTCCATGTGCTAAATACCATTATGCTGTCATGGTGGACCCTCTCTGGGAGGTGACACCTGCTGTGGTGAGTATTTACGCCCTCCTAGTTTATTTATGCCCTCACAAAAAGGCATTAGCCAGGCAGCTGTCTTGTAGACTCCACATTTCACTTTTTAATGCAGATGGAATCTAAATGACCTATCTTAGTATGGATATGGTTGTTGACTCCTATTTCAAAATCCTGACTAAGCCCTTCTTTTTTAATAGGCAATTTTGATATAAACGGAGACAACTTTTGCACTTTTCAAAGAAAGATGCTGTTCATGAGTGCAGGCAGCAGATTGCTAGGAGTTACCAACTTATATATCCTCCTTTAATATTTAGGCCCTTACTTGTTTATTTTAGCCCTCTTTATGAATCAGAGACATTTAACCCCCTCCCCCCCCTCCCATTTGAATATCTCTCTTTTGTCAAAATGAACACATTGTTACTATACTGTTCATTACAGGTCCTGTCATCTGCTTTCACCAAGTGTATAACAAAACCCCTGGAGATCCTCTGCAGTGGTCTGGGGCGATGCTTTCGTCTTCTGCTCACTGAGATTCCAGTCCAATGGCAGCCCGTAGTGATGCTGGTTCTCATCCTGTTTCTATTGATCGTCACCATTATGCTGTGCAGTTATCGCATCTCTCTTCCACTATTTCTGAAAATTGAGCCTTCGCGATGCACGCCAGATGTAATAAGGGCACTGTCAAGAGTGTTGCATCATGGGAAAGGTGATCACGTCCAACTGAGGGTACCTGCCACTAGAGAGCAGCACTCAGCAATACAGGACAGTGGCAAAAGGACTAAAGCAGTTAAAAATAGTACTGTGAAAAGAGCTATCAATTTTCAAGAGGATTGATAAGTCTTGATGAAAGAGACATTTACACAAACTTTCAGTTGGTACCTTTTCTTGCCTTCAGTTGTTTCTCATGCAGAGATATTAACAGTTATATGACTAATAGTTATAGCATCGAATATCAGCTTGCAGGTTAGAGTGTAGAGAAAGGAATTGACAAGTTTTAGCTCTTCTCCATGGATATTTTTGAAAATACAGTAGACTGCATAACTTGGATTATCCTTTATCTTAAAACAAGGCAGCAAAGCTGTCAAATGTACAGACAAAAACCAGAAAATAAAAACGCAGGAAATAGGATACTGTCAATTCTGATTAACTAATGTATGATGCTTACTGTAACTGCATAGCCAACATCAAATTCTTATTCTGCATAACATTGGATTAGGATAAAA